AGCCCCCCCCCCCCCAATCCTTTCTGTTCTTACATAGAGGTACACACGTCTTTCGCAACTGACAATTCGCATGTGCCCCCACCCCCCTTTTTATCCCAAATAAAACCCTTCCAGATAAAAAAAAAAAGATAAAATACAAATAAAGCACCAAAAATAAGGACACTGAGCGTGTGTAATAGGTTAAGTGAATTATGAAACTAAGGCTTAACCCTATCCGTATGTCGTGTTTCATTATCGTATCCATGCGACGTTGGAAACTCTGTGCCACTACTTTCCAAAGAGGAAATTTACTCGTTAATCCGATCCTTACGCTTAGCATAGCAGTCTGTCAAAATGATTTTTTGAGAAATACTGAAAGTTTCAAAGAGATCTTCGTACTAAAAGCTTCTAAAATGTGAAGAATACAACCCCTGGGGTCCAAAATGACCCCTGGGCGTACGGATAGGGTTAAAACTTTTCATCAGCAGTCTATACCCCCTCCAAACAGCTCTTCGCCGTTTTCTCTGATGCTGCTGATAAACTCCACCGGACAAACAGACGCTGCCCATGGGTTGTGGCATTCTCTAAACGTCTAAGTCAGAAATTCCGTGCTAACGATTTCTTATACTTTTCTAAAAATCCTCTGAAGTATTGGCCTGCTTCTAAGCAATCAGGGTTATATTTTAGCCTAACAGTAAGATTGTCGTGTCTTGTATCTGCATGTCAAACTGTTCACTCAAAGCGGCGAATTCGTATAATTTTTTAAAGAGTATCACTTTCCCTCGATTCTTGACCCGAAAATTCCATGTTACAGTAACGAATGCATGTTATTTCATTATTGGATTTTAAAAGACCCCATTTTAACCCTATCCATACGTCGTGTTTTACTATCGTATACATACAATGTTGGGAACTCTGCGCCACCACTTAACCCTGTCTGAACGTCGTGTTTTACTATCGTATCCATATGACTTGGGGAACTCTGTGCCACCACTTTCCAAAGAGGAAATTTACTCGTTAATCCGATCCATCCGCTTTGTATAGCTGTCTGTCAAAATGATTTTTTGAGAAAAACTGAAAGTTTCAAAGAGATCTTCGTACTAGAAGTATTCTAAAATGTGAAGAATACAACCCCGGGGATACAAAATGAGCAAAGGGCGTACGTTAAGAAATTTACTTCTGGGACAGACCTTTTTAATAGTAACTTCAAATTCTTCCCGTTCATGCTCTTGTTTCTGTCTGTCTGTCTTCCTTTGTTCCCCTTGCCTTAAATGACCGTTAATGTGTCGATTTGCTTCTCTGTATCCAAACACACAATTAATAGACAAATCCCGTATTCTTCGAATTTCTCTTGTTTTCGCCTGTTAGTGTCACACGAGGATTGTGCATGAAGGTTACACAGCCAAGACCAAAAGAAACGGTAGTTTTATCAAGTAATTATCTAAACTGAAAGCAACAACGGGAAGCCAGAATTACTTCTCCTTTTATCTCCTTGAAAAAAGTAGGCCCCCTTTACGACAAAGGTCTAATTAACTCTCTCTCTATGCCATGACCCAGTACATCAGCGTCTCTCTTATACGTAACTTTAGACTCGGGAGGTTGGGGGGGGGGGCACCACGGCTAGTGCCGCCTACTGTACTAAGACTTAACTTGTACACTTTCCTTGTGTTGTTTCAGAGTGTCTGTTTTACTTTACCCCAACACTAATGAATGGCTTTTATTATGTCGATGTGCTTCTCCTCACTTAAACAAAACAAACAGCTTTTGTCTTTGTGCCATTAATTCGTGGCACAGAAAGAGTTCAGACCCCCCCTCCCCCC